TGCCTCCAAATATGAGAGTGAAACATGGAGGGATACCATTATGAACGATTCTCTTTCTGTTGATGTATAGCATTAGATCAGGAGCGGAGTTATAGGTACACTCCCCGAGTAAAAGTTGGTATTTTGAGGCGCAATTTTAACACGTGTATGCTAAGAATATGTGGAGAAAACGTTTTACCGGTCTTCGACTTCTCACTAACTACGAAGAGTTAGGCCCTGAAACTTGGAGGTCATATCAGGTAAAGCATGAGTACATACCTCCCTGAGCCGCAAGATGATACTCGTTGTGGTGGCTGTGCACGAGTCAAAAAACCGGTTATGCTAAGAATATGTGGAGGGGTGTATAGGAGTCTACGAAATGGTATGAGCTATGACGTATCATAAACAGAGACTCATCGGTTTAAAATGACATGTCGCGTTTCCCTGCTTGACACTAACATGGAGATATCTTGGACAATGTGTTCCTGACCAAGTGGAAAAACCAAAATGTGTTGTAATTCGCAATTGTCCCACATTAGGGAAAAGATATATAGTCGCAGTGAGAAAAGTGTATTAGACCTGTGTACGATGAACGTCGATTGCAGAATCACAGCTAGTCTAATCATCCTCATAGTGGGGCTAGTATGGCTGTAACAGTCTGGATATAGTGGGCCATTTTTTGCGTTCTTCAGTACGGGCGAAAGCGATCCTCTTAGCAGGTTTATATACTAAACACAACTTCTCATCATCTCAACAACCACCATTGTTTGCACTTTCGAACTCATCGGAGTTCGTCGGCTTTATGCTGGCACACACATGCCTTTCATGAACGTGGGAGTATCTGAACCAACTCGGCATAAACACAGCCCATACAGATCCTGGCGGTCTTACGATTAGGTGTGAAGACGCCCAAATGGGAATTCTTCCCGAGTTGACTTCCTCCTTGTTTCATATATTCCTCACAATTCACGCCAGTCGTGTTGGTCACTGATCATGAACTGTCTTCGATGAATGCAATACCCCTGCCGCTTACCATGGGGGATCGGTGCCTCAATAACATCAGGGACGGCGGCTTTCTGCAGGGACGTTCTTCTGCCAGCTCTGAGGCTCTGCTTGGCGACCGCCTCCTTTTGCTGGACCGCGGGTGTCGTGGCGTCCTCAATGTCGAATGAGATACGGCGCTTACGGTCCTCTTGGAGAAGTCCGTCAATCAGGAGCATCGACTCGACCACCTAAGTCGTCAATAATGTCGATTTTCAAGGGGAGCTTTACTGACCTCAGATCTCATCGATTTTGACAGAGACGCGGTGAGCATGTGGACAGCACTATTGCGCTTCTTGTTCTGAACACAATACGTTGGTCCCTCCGCGCTAATCTTGGTGGTCTTACCTCAGGGGCCACGACCTTCTCGGCCTGTAGAGCAACCGAAGGATTATTCAACTTGCGTTCGTCCACCACTGCTCTGGTGCCGGAAATGATGTTGAACAGAGTGCCACCGAGGGCATACCTGACAACAGACCGACACTAATCGTTGTTGCTATATGTAAATTATGAGAATGTTGATACCAGTGTGGGAAAACCTGCACATGGTCAACTGCACGTGTTGGTGACAATATGCTAGTCTGAGGAGATTGTGGGAAATTTTTGTCGATTTCTGTACACTTTCACCAGAATTAACGAATCAGGAACTCCTGAGCTCAGCTGAGGGGAGCAAATATATACTTCAACACTGGGTTAAACCGATTCCGCTGTTTCCCCTGTACGACCCACCAGTCCACACTCTTTGCCTCGTCGAAGGTAAGGGAAGGGCTGCTCAGTAAACTGCGAATTTCCTTAGTCTCCCTGAGAACAGATTTCGCGACCTACCATGACTTCAGGCAAGACCACTTACGAGTTTTTCCCGTCCTCAGCTCCAGTGGCGAGGACTACTGAGTCCTGCATGAGCTCGCTAGCCGCCGGTGGGGTGCTCTGAGGGCCACGTTGTGATACGGGCAAATGATGGTATGAACAGTTGTTGTTACCGGAGTGGGAACCTTCCCGTCCCAAGTATTGAAGTACTCGAATATGGCCGCGTCACTGCACTTAGTGTCGGAGCATAGGACGGTTTTTGGTGACATGCCCAAATGAATCTGAGTGATATAAAGGAAGCCAATTAGCGCGACGTTGACGATACCTACCATGTGGGCTTTCGAGTGGAGAAATCTAAGACTGGTGACCAGCTGAGGGGCGATCTTCTGGAACAGAGGGAACCTATTAAAATCAACATCCCTCTGAGACGTCGTTGTCCTCATAGACCACCACCTCGTGATCATGCTAGAGAACTCTCCTATGTAGCCCTGTTGGTCTGCTGCTGGTTGAAGGAGATCGACAAGGCGACCACCAGGCATGTACTGCATCAAGATGTTACTCCCGAAACTGTATACGCTTGTCATCGAGGCCCACTCTGAGGATGGCTCACTATATGTTCTTGACGTCCTCAGATTTCCGGCCAGATGCCTTGGGAACGACCATGGTGACACCACTGGTGACAGGGACTTTAGTGCCGTTCTCGTATTGAATGTCACTGACGTCGTGACCAAACCTAGTACGACACACCTAAGCTCGTGGACCTGTCACTGGGCTGATCTCACCCGTAGAGCACGTGGTGGTTTGGACAGGTGACGGTCTGACCAGGCTTAGCAGAACCTGAGAAAAGAAGTCGTAGTATTCACCGACAGGACCACATTAGTTTACCTATAGCAGCGCACTGGACCGTGTTGGTCTTTCCGAACCACATCTTCTCTCTGTTGAACTGGCCCAGCGTGTGGATCTTCCTCTCCTGGTCCGTGTCCACAGGCAGGGACACAGCCTTCAGGGCGTAGTCGTTCTTGTTGGAATCGGTCACTCGGAATACCACTCCATTGCGAGCTTGGAAAAGTCTGTGAAGGAAGTGCCAAAGGGACAGACCAAACTGGTCACCTTTCATGCAGGATAAACGGGCCCTTGGGGATGACCAGTGAGACCGGCTTGTTGTGATGTAACTGAACGGTGAGCAACACGTGTAATAACGCGGTCGACCCAAGGACCACTTGGTCCGACTCCGAGGACCAAATGCTCACCTGGTGGTCGAAGCCACTGAGACTGTCGATAAGAAGAGCTGCTAAGGCAAGGGTGATCCGCGACATTGTTAAATTCAGGATTGGGTAATGGCTGATAGAAACTCAAATTGTTGACCAGCGACCGTCGCGATCCGAAATCTTGCGCTGACAGATTCTTGCAAGTTGCACGAAAAACGAGCATTAGTTAGCGCGCGCCCGAAAAATACTAGCGTCGTTTTTGATGGCTCTGACAGGTAAACTGGTCCCGGTATGAGAACATGATGGTTCAGGGTGTCACCAAAGAATGACTAGATAGATGCCCTCGTTCAGGCCTGAGTTGTGGTCGTTGTATGCCCAAAGGTCGTAGGCGCTTCGCCAGTTCTGACGTGTTGTCCGGCCCGAGGGCATGTTCAGACTCAGTGGTGATCTCTTTGTCCCACACATCGTCCTTGCTGCGCATCCCTCGTACTTTATTGGGCCAGTTTCTTGCTGAGTGACTGCTCTCAGTAGTTCATGGTTGATGAAACTAGCTTAATCGTTTCATCCGGCACTTCAGTCGTGCACGTCGTGCACGACTACACGATGATATCATCCAATGCATGAACCTGGACCAGGTCCTGGTTCATCCTGTGATCCTGCACTTAGGTGATCCTGGTCACCAGTCATCCATGTATTTATGTTTCTTTTCAATAGTACAATAGTGGCACTATTATAGCACTATTATAGTGTTAGTTCACTTCCCGATATAGTAAACTCAAATCTCGAATTATACAATCAGCACGCGAGTTGGAAACATCTAGCAGCGGCATCAGCGCTCGAGCTTATCAGCATCCTCCTTTGTCCACACCAACTGACGCCAACCACACGGTCGGTATGCTCTGAAACATACTCTCAGGGTAATTTCATGGCGCGTGACGCTATCTCACCACGCAGTGTACAGTCCGTGGCTCCTGTCCCGTTGGTGATGGTCAGAGTGTTGTCGAACCCCACACTTGCTATTTTCGGTCTCTTATTGCCGAAGTCTGTCATCAAAGCCACGGCACTAACAATAAGGAAACCCTAGGTACGGTCAGACCAGGAATCCTATCACTGGTCCAGTGGCCGAACCAGAGAGACATACACATGATCAACTACGCGTATTGACGACAGTCGTAAAGTTCCGGTGAAATTTCCGAGAATTTTTGTTGATCTTCGTATATCTCCGGAGTGGACTTTCATAATGTAGCTTTGGAAACCCCCTGCGGAACTGAAGTTCTATTTCAACACTTCCAGGCGTTTACCGGCAGCTGTCACTGTGTGCAGATGGTCCGTATACGAGAGGTCGCTGAGCAGTAGAGCGCGTGTCCCATATGGCAACAGTGCCGTCCTCGAAGCCCGCACCGATGTACACTGGGGAGGATCATCCCCAATGGACCAAGGTGACCAAGGCTCGTACTTGTGTCGGGAGACATATTCACACTATTGGCTTCTCGATGATGCATTTCGCCAGGAGGGGTCCATACCGGAGTGCATGATCTTAGGGACCTGATGATCATCATGACAGTACTTACCTGGACTGGGCGTGTGGTACGTGTTGACCGAAAGGTCCTATGCTGGGCCCAAACTGGACAAGGCCATAAACAACACATGCTACGACATCATTACTATAGCCGAGAGTTACGGCAACTCCGCAGGCGCGCGCAACGATGAGCACATTAGACCTATTCACATCGAGTGCACGACACTATCGATCTCGTCTATGTCTCCTTTCTATCACCCCAAGAGGACTCTTGGACCCCAACACTCACCAGATAGAGACATTTCCACCAGATGAGCCAACGGCAAGAAGTACTCCATCATCCTGGTGGCCACAGCTAAGGGACAGAGCCTAAGGAGTATTCAATGAACGCCTTCCTCAAGGAGTCTTCTTACATTGCCAGGCATAGCATCTGTCCATCTCGGACCACCCAACGTAGCCTTACTACTATCTCTGTCAACCTATAAAGGGCGTACTTTTTTCCTCTGGCAAATTCGGAAAATCGGCGTTTTTTTGAGCTGAGACTTTAATAGAGCATGGTTATGATAACTAGCTACTGCATATTGAATTGAAACTGTCATTTTCGAAATCGTTACTGATATATAGAGCTAGCTGTCTCCCCTCAACTGGCCCTTACGTCCCACACTCTAACACAGTGTTCATTACTCGAACCACTGAGGAAAGTTGTCGAACTCGCCGCGCAGACCGTTCGAATAGTCCCTGTGAAAGCCATCTAGACCAGGACTGATTGACCTCACAGTTTACCTGCTTGTGGATACCATCTGCGCTCTCGGGCATTGTCGAGTGTCGGATCATGATCAAAGGACATGACCTGTAAGCTCTGATCGTTGGAACCAGTAACCAAGACCCTGCTTTCTGGTGACCACGACATGCAGTATCTGCCCAACCCTAGGGGGTCCTCATCCTGCTGTATGAGCTTACATCGAGCCAGCGTGGTACTTGTCCCGTCTGAGGAGCTCTATAGTGTCCCCATCCTCTATGGCTTCCACATCACATATTATCAACGACCGACTGTTGGTGCCTACATCACACCAGGAACAGTCTAAGGCCTAGGGACCACGGCGAGGGCAGGGCCAGGAGGGGCCCTGCGTACTGCATGCGCCTAGGGCCCGAGATTGCGAGGAAACTATAAGCAAGGCTCTGCATAGGGCCTTGATAATGACGGCCACTTATAGACAGCAGGTATTCGTACACCACGGAATTGAAGTCGAAGTGAATTCCTTGAGGAATGTACGTAGAGGCGACATGGTATGACTATAATTATGTCTTGTGGCACTTCTAAATCGGAAGTTGGGAAGTTTTCAATCGACTAGATATGATACAGTCGTGCCGTAGATGAGATCGGCGAGTGATCGCGAACATAAATCCAAGGAAAATGTGGTCATGCCTACCAATGCCAAGATAACGGCCACAAGGACTGAAGGCGACACAGCGTATGGCCTGCGTGTCCTCATATTGCCAGATCTGAGTGACTTGTATGCGATCCTGGACTGGTCCACTGCTAACATAGGCCGATGCTCCTCCTTGTAGACCCAAATCTGGATCCAGATAGTATCCTCGAGAATCACCACAGAGGCCCTCTACCTCTCTGCTCGCCTGAACGGCGTCGCGCCTTCGCTTCGGGGATCGGTGCTCTGGGAGGTGTACCATGAAGGCTTGGAGAGGATCGATGATGGGCCTGGCCAGTGTGGGAACATCCGCGTAGTAAACAACATGTGTTGTAACAATGAGGAAAATAACAGAAGTTTCGGGAAATTTATTGTTGGTTTTTTTTGCACTTCTTCACCAATTCGGGTGCGAATTTTCATAACGAGGAATGAGCTCAGTCGAAGGGAGGTGCTCACCTGACCACTACTGCTTCCTGTGGGGGTTCCCATACGTGGTCCTGCCATACACCGACTGACCACTCCTTGCCCAACATAACTCATCATCTCACCAATGGAGTCCGCGACCGTTCGGCTGATATTCGTTTGCCTTTCTGAGGAGCCCCACTGCCACGCAGTCGTCGACCCAACAGAAACCTAGATCTCCAAAATGTGTGAGCCCAGCAGTAAGGTAAACACCTGTCGGCTGTCCCTCACTGACTCTCTCTCGTCCGAGTGGTCGGCGGTCCTTCTAGCCGGCTCGGGCTCCCATGGTATGTCGATCCTTACCCCCTTAGGGAATACCACTGGCTTGCCCTCGCTCTGATCTGTTCCATGAGTACTATAGTACACCGCGACCATAGCGAGACTAACTTCTGGAGTTCGTGTCGGGTGACTCCTGAGCCTCCACAGGGGTGAGGATGGGCCGGTCTTCCCTTGGGCCTGGACTCGGAGGTGGACCAACACGCTGACCGTTCACTGGCTGGCCTGGTGCCTGACCAGTACAGTCTTCAGTGTGTACACTGTCGAGTCCAACCTCAGCTTGGTCCACGTCTCTAGCCAGTGATAGAGGAACACTTGGTGACCGGGGACTGCCGGTGGCCTAGAACATGGAACCACCGACCACACGAGCGTAGTGCTGCGGTGCCTCACTGTGATGGTCGGAGAGTACTTATGGTTGAGGCCTCGGCCAATGAGATCGTCAAGAGTATCCTCTCCAGTGCAGCCCTCAGGGACGAGCATCCCACCTGACCCCAGCATGGTCCATTGACAAGACCCTTCCTCACAGTCTTCTTCTGTCCAACCCTCGCTGCCGTACACCTCCATGAGCCTGGGTACGTAACTGCGCCATAGTCCGTACCTAGATGCCGCTTGTCACGACTACATAGCCGTGAGTCGTCCCCACCGTCCCCCAGCCCGGCCGTGCCACTCCTGCCGGTACTTGTCTAGCGTCGGGACAGTAAGGGTCTCATGCAGCTGAGCGTATCTGTGGTCCAGACTAGCATTGCTCTATTCTAGGTAGACCCACTCAGCGTCAGAACACAGAGGTTGTATTTTCTCTAGTACTTGGACCATGTCCCGGACCAACTAAAATCGAACCAACCAAAGTTGTAGCGCTGGTCTCCATTCAACTCCCAAGACCAACTGCTTTCTCATGAATTGGTCCATCAGCTCCCTCACGGACCTTCTCGTCTTCCTCAGTGAGAAATAGGAGCTCCAGAAACTCCTGAGTAACACGCCTTCGGTATGGTCCACCGAGTGGCCCTACTTGTCTATATACTCTGAACTGTGCAGCTTCCTGATCTGCCGTCGAAGTGGACGAGTACCTGGCCTTGGTCGCTCTGTGGCCTCCCATGGGAGCTACCTACAACTTCCTCACGAGTCTCAACAGGTCATCCCAACGCCCAGCCATGACCACCGAACGGAAGTACTCAACCTAAGGACGGTTCACTCCGAGCCGATGGCAAGTGTTGACTTACGGCATCGTTAGCATGGGGAACACAAAGTTTTGTATTGGTCTCGGTCTCTAGGGCTTGCATGGCCGAGTACAGCCCGTGGTCGTGCCTATCCGAATGAAGAGCGATTTCTGACCCCATTATCAACAGTATGGGAATATATGGTGGCTTTCCTTGGTAGAACTTGACAGTTTATATACGAATTAGGGTAGAAGTGCTCAGAAACCAACAATAATTTCCCAGAATTTCCATATAGTCACCGACACATGTAGTCGATCATATGCATATTTTCCCCACTGCATTTGAAACCGCAGTAGCCACTCACAAATATCGTAGCATGAGTAGCACTACTGCCTTGTCATCGCAACCTGGCTGACCGGACCACCCGCGGCCCCCTTCTGCTAGGTCAGCTGTAGTCATTGAACTAGTTCGAACTATACCACTGATGTACAACTAACACGTCGTAACTCGGGCCATTGTGGTTGGTCTACAGTGAGGCAGCCTCCTATATCAGACTGGCGAGCCTAGGTTCACTGTACTCGATCAAAGTCCCTGTATTGATCCTGTTGATTGTATGATATTGACAAGTCAACGCTGAGCACATGTATCATTCGAAAATGCATGAGTGTACTATTCACATGTCATTAATGTTGCTAACATCTGTGCTGGACCACCGGGATCATTCCTTCGTAGGGCATGACCGCGGCAGATAACCTTCGCAGTGGAGTAGGACACTCCTAAGGATTCGAGTAGGAAACCCTACTAGAAATAGGCTCGTTGCCCCTTGAATTCGGAGTAGGGGACTCGGTCTGAGCTCTCGGGAGATCGACTCCTCCAAGAAAATACACTCCGAGCTCTCTATCTCTGAACTCGTAGGCCTCGCAGTAGTAAAGCGAGGCGAGTCTAAGAGGATCCATCGACCCTATATCTGACCAGAGATGCGGTGGCCGGGGATCGAACCCGGGTCGTGGCACTGCGACCGTGACTTACACAACGTTGTCTCCAAGGAGCTGCATTGTGATATCAAACGAACCTTGGAATGCTCTGAATTCCACATATGCTAAAATAAAGTTAGTGTAGAAGTATAATCTAAGACCACACCGGTGTAGGAGGGCAGACGACTGGCTCTATTGATACCACTTTTTCGCTTCTTCTCGGAAGCAGTCCCAGCAGAACATGGCCAAAAAGAGTTGCTATTCCAGACTGGGACCACATGGTATCTTGCTAGGGTCCTTGCTTGTTCCACTCTTATATTTTCTTGGACCAGGGACTCGGCCCTTAACGCCACCTTCCCCATTCACGGTCCACTCGGGGGAAGCCTTAGAAGGCGACATATGCTGCTCGCGAGGCGCCGCCGCAACCAAGTGCTAAGAATATTATAGTTTACTATTGTAACAACGCAAGGCCACTGAGACTAAGGACAACACAATGCCCGACATGGGGCTCATGACATCTCTAGGCCTCTGGGTAGGGGGGCACATTACCGTCCAGGACCACCCGCAAGGACTTGATCTCAGCATCCTTCAGCCACAGCAACTCGACGGAGCTCTTCAAAGCTGTCCTCAGCTGATCGCCACTCCTGGTGAGCTCTGAAACTCTCGATCGGAGACGGGCTCGCTCGGCCAGTAGATCTGAAGGACCATGTTCTCCTTGAATGGCTCCTACCACCACTACCTTCCCGCTCCCCTGCATGGCTCCACCTGGCACTTGATTGAGCGTCGTCATATCGAGACCTGGGCAACTTCTATGACCAATCACCATGACAAATTTCCACCTTGTTGATTCCGACTTGTACGCCCGCATGATCCGCCGTGCCGCGTCTCGATGCTCCTGAAAAAAGTAGGTTGCGAAATTGTTGATCAAACCTAGAGGACCACTTTCCGAATCAGATGTTGGTGTCTATGGGGGACGGCGGCGCTGGAAAAGTACGTCCGCTGGGTCTGAGAGGCCAGATCTACCAGAGCTGACCGTAGCTGACCACTACCTTGTGTTTGACGATATTGCACATAGAAATGTCCATGGTCCCCCAAGACTCCTCCTCTGGACCTCCTATGGTCCTATGTGTGGCCCCATGAAGTCTTGGAACTCGGTCGTACTTGGAAATACTGGTACAACTGCTTCCGGCCTCGAATGGGCCAGAAGATACAATCAGTGATCGGGAGGTGAGCGATTCATTCGCACCGTATGAGGGTTTCTCTTGCCGGGGGGCCATGGCGTCGATCTTGGGCATCGCGGAGTGGCCTACTGTTGCTGATCTGCCCCGTGTGACCGGACCTACATCCTCTGCCACAACGGTTTCGGCCACTGGCACTGGGCCTTCCTTCCCCGCAGTGGCCCCGACCACCATTCGGCCACCGTCCTCAGCTGGCCCCGCCTCGGCAGTTACTACTGATTGCCGAACCACCAGACCATGGTCCTCTGCCGGCAGTGCTTCGTTCACCGTATCACCTTCCCCAACCGGTGGTTGGACCACCACTAGTGGCCTCTTTTCTACCATCGGACCATAATCCTGGGACGGCGGCACCAGAGTCGCCACTACTGGTTCGCGAACTCCAAGACCGTCGTGCTCGTTCGGCACGGGCTCAGCTGGTACCGCGACGGTAGCCTCTGGTGGGGCAACTACCGGTGTAGGATTTTCCTGGGGGGGACCCACCGCCTCTGGACCATCACGGGTCGTTGACCCCTTCCCCGCGAATATCGAGTCCAGACTTCCGAGGGGGGCCGGTCTCGGCTCGTCCGCTTCCCCACCTGAGTGCGGCGCCCCTACTGGCTCCTGGCTGCCCGACGAGGCTCCCCAAAGGTCTGATAGATCTGGTAAAGGCGCAGCGCTGGCGGAAAACTCTGCCATTAGAGCTGATAAGCGTGAGAAGAATTCTTGCCAAACCCAATTAACCATTTTCGCATCAGAAGATCGGTTCGGATTCACCCCGGACGAGGGCTTGAACAAACACGCATCGGCGACCACTTGTAAGGGCCATAAACGCCACACGTTGGTGGGGCTTGAGCCCAAGACGGGAAGTTGTAGCGGAAACTCGAAAGGGGTCTCGCTTAGCTGGAGATCTACAAAAACCTTCACTGTGCGCTCAGAAGCCTCACTCGCAAGGATACGCGAAGATACCGAATGAAACCGTCAGGGTGTACAGTGCAATATCGAACCGACTCATATCTTGAGCTCCCGACAGAGAGAAATGGTGTGATCTCGCTCGCCCGTGATGAGTTGCACAAGCCTACAGCGAACTCGCCTGGTCGGTTCTCTTACTATCCATTTTAATTTCAGTGCTCTGTATTGCCCCTCTACTGGCAGCCTACTACTACGATGTCCACGGAAACCTTTGCATTCAACGCTGATATTCAGCAGTTGATGAGTCTTATCATCAACACCTTCTACAGTAAGTTGTTCATCGTCGCTCGATTCTGTCTTGGATCGTTTCTTGGTCAGGCAACAAGGAGGTCTTCCTTCGTGAGCTCATCTCCAATGCCTCCGATGCATTGGACAAGATTCGATTCGAGTCCATCACTGATCCCGAGAAGATCGAGAATGTAAGTGAAAGGGTCCTTTCTGTTGCATTTTTGTCATGTTTGTTTTCTTCAGGAGCCTGAGTTTAAAATTAAGATCATCCCCGATAAGACCAACGGAACTCTCACTGTTGAGGATACCGGAATTGGTCTCACTAAGACTGAGATGATCAACAACTTGGGAACCATCGCCAAGTCTGGTACCAAGGCCTTCATGGAGGCCATCCAGGCCGGTGGTGACATCTCTATGATCGGCCAGTTCGGTGTTGGTTTCTACTCCGCCTACCTCGTTGCTGACAAGGTCCGTGTTGTCTCGAAGTCCAACGATGACGATCAGTACATCTGGGAATCTGCCGCTGGCGGTTCCTTCAGTGTCACCAAGGATACCGAGTTTGCTGATGGTCACATCAAGCGTGGTACTAAGGTCATCCTTTATCTCAAGGAGGATCAGACCGAGTTCCTTGAGGAGCGTCGTCTGAAGGATTTGGTCAAGAAGCACTCTCAGTTCATTGGCTTCCCCATTGAGCTTTACGTCGAGAAATCTACTGAGAAGGAAGTGACCGACTCCGAGGACGAGGAGGAGGACAAGGAGAAGAAGGATGACGAGAAGAAGGACGAGTCGGAGGAGCCCAAGATTGAGGAGGTCGAGGACGACGAGGAGAAGAAGGAAGGCGAGGAGGAGGGTGACAAGAAGAAGAAGACCAAGAAGGTCAAGGAGGTCACTCACGACTGGGAGCAATTGAACAAGACCAAGCCGATCTGGATGCGCAAGCCTGAGGATGTGACCAACGAGGAGTATGCTTCCTTCTACAAGTCTCTTACTAACGATTGGGAGGACCATCTGGCTGTCAAGCACTTCGCTGTTGAGGGTCAGCTCGAGTTCAAGGCTCTCCTGTTTGTGCCACGTCGTGCCCCCTTCGACTTGTTCGAGAACACCAAGAAGCGCAATAATATTAAGTTGTACGTCCGCCGTGTCTTCATCACTGATGACTGTGAGGAGCTCATGCCCGACTGGTTGTCCTTCATCAAGGGTGTTGTCGACTCCGAGGATCTTCCTTTGAACATCTCTCGTGAGACCCTTCAGCAGAACAAGATCCTTCGTGTCATCAAGAAGAACTTGGTGAAGAAGTGTTTGCAGTTGTTCGAGGAGATGGCCACCGAGAAGCCTGATGATTACAAGATCTTCTACGAGCAGTTCTCGAAGAACATCAAGTTGGGCATCCACGAGGATAGCACTAACCGTGAAAAGATCGCCGAGTTGCTGAGGTTCAAGTCTTCCAAGTCTGGTGAGGATATGGTTTCCTTCCAGGAGTATGTTGACCGCATGAAGGAGGGTCAGAAGGATATCTATTACATCACTGGTGAGAGTATCGCTGCCGTGTCCTCAAGTCCCTTTATCGAGACTCTTCGCAAGAAGGGTTATGAGGTCCTCTATTTGGTTGATCCTATTGATGAGTACGCCGTGCAGCAGCTCCGTGAGTTCAACGGTCACAAGCTGAAGTCCATCACTAAGGAGGGTGATCTCGATCTCAATGAGTCTGACGAGGAGAAGAAGGCTTTCGAAGAGGAGAAGGCTGACTTCGAGCCTCTCTGCAAGCTCGTTAAGGAGGTCTTGGGCGACAAGGTTGAGAAGGTTATCGTCTCTCAGCGTGTGTCGGAGTCTCCTTGCGTGTTGACCACCTCCGAGTACGGCTGGACCGCCAATATGGAGCGTATCATGAAGGCTCAGGCCCTTCGGGATAGCTCTATGACTAGCTATATGGTGTCGAAGAAGACTATGGAGGTCAACCCCAAGAACGCCATCATGGTCGAGCTGAAGAAGAAGGCTGCTGCCGATAAGTCCGACAAGACCGTGAAGGATCTCATCTGGTTGCTCTTTGATACTTCTCTTCTTACCTCTGGCTTCAGCCTTGATGATCCCACTCAGTTTGCCAGTCGCATCCATCGTATGATCAAGCTTGGTCTTTCGATTGATGAGGATGACGAGGAGGCCGAGTCTGATGATGAGGATCTTCCCCCTCTCGAGGAGGTTGATGCCCAGGCTGCTGATGAGGCGTCTAAGATGGAGGAGGTCGACTAACTTTCCCTTAGATGTTTTGATCGGGTTGGCTATACGTAGTGCCGAGAATAACTATAAGTAGTACTTGAGTCGTAGAAATACGCGCTGCTGTTAGTTGTAGTACTGGTAGTATTATTGCTTTTGTCGTTTCCATCTGCTACTACTATCTTTGAAGTATGTAGGGTGGTATTGAATATGTTTAAGCATCGTGGGTTGGAGGACAGTAGTCATCATTGACGGTTCAGGCTGCTGGAGTTGTCACCACATACACCTCAGAGGCACCAATTTCAGAAGTCCAAGTTGTCTTGTGTTAAAGTCACTGTATTAGATTGAGAAGGATTGGATATGATTTGTCGGAGGCTCGTTGGGACTGGTTAGGCTCTCCTTTGTAGTTCAAATTCTATGAGGGGATTTAATGCGTGTTACTTGTACGAGTTGCCAGTCGTAGTTTTTTAAGCATCAGACTGTGCTGTGTAGCAGCTTGTGAAAGTAGTGTAGTACCTGGTAATAGTAGAAATGTCAGGGAAGGGCATCGCACGACTTAGCGCCTCTAAGTATGTAAGAGGCCGAGGTACATGATACAGCGACAGGACCTTAGTATAGTAGTGGGGTAGATGCGAAGAGTGTGGCAGAAGATCTGAAGTCCGAGTCGAATCGAGAGAGGACTAAAATTGCTCATGAGTGTGTGAAAGAAATTGCTATGTAGTCTCTTGGGAGTGTTGCTGTGGCGGCAGTGCTTAGTGGTAGGTGTCCCGTGTTGTCGAGGCGGTGGATCGACTTGACAGACACGATGGAACAATTGGCGCGGTTGGCGATGTTGGAGGCTAGTGCTTCGCGAGGGAAGGGGAGGGCCAAGGTGGTGACACGAGGGATGGTGACACCTCCGAGAGGGTCGGCTGTAGGTGTTGGGTCGGCTGGATGATGGTGGTACACTGTGGGATCAAGACACAGAAGAAGATGCGGTCAGGTGATTGAGGAGGGTTCTGGGTTTGATAATAGCAAACTGATGATGCAGGCTTTTGATGGAGGAGAATACAGTTAATCTCAGCTTACGGATGCTGAACGACTATAAAGTGCTGGACTAGTGTGGGTGGCTGGCTGGCATCGATCGACTTAGGTCTGGCAATACGCCAACTCGCATCGCCTTGAAGACGCTGTAATGGATACTGCGAAAGGGAGTGGTGGTCTTGATGGTCACCGTGTGGTCGATCCTCAGGCTCTGTCACAGTCTTTGGTGAATAAAGTGGTGGGACTACTGTTGTGATGGTTACAGAAACTATAGTGTGTTAGAACACGTTTGAGGAGAGTGTGGGGGTGCTGTTGTGGAAGTGTCTTGTCCACGTGGAAGCACTGCAGTTGGTGGACCTGCCCCTCCTCATAGGCCACTGCACTGTGAGTCTCTCCGGGACTGGTCTCGGTCAGTGGACGTGGTTTAGACAGTGTTGGACCAAGTGGGCGAGCGAGACCTCGAGGTCAAGCATGTTAGAAGGCAGGTAGTAGGGCAAGGTCGGTTGAAGTTACCCTAGTGTTGGTCAGTATTGGAATATATGTTCGCTTTCCTCAACTGAGCTCGGGTGTTCCCTCACCCATAGGAGTTTACATACAAATTCGGGTACAGGTGTACAGAAACCAATAACAATTTTTCCGAATTTCCTCTCAAAATTCTCGAATTGCCACCAACACATGCAGTTGGTCATGTGCACGATTTCTAACACTGGTGTTGGTTACAGGAGGCTCTTGTTATCCACTATTTTCACTGTATTATGAAGCATAGTGAGAAGCTGAGCGCCAAGGCGGTGTTCGAAAGTATGCGAGACACTGGCCTTATCTCTGGCATACTCCACTATCTGGCAAACAAGGAGTGCACGCCTGACCTCAAGGTGAGGCTCGGCTGGCTCGGTCATCTCACGCGCAAGGAATGTCTTCTGGTGACCGTATGGTTGTTCCACCCAAGTATGTGGCATCGCTCGGGCCGTGACCTTGACCATTCAAGTGACTAGGCGGTGGGGATGGAGGGTCTGTCGATGCTGGCCGACTCTGAGGATTTCCAATGTGACATGCACCGTTTTCTGCCACGTCTGGAAGACATTGAGGCTCTCAGGGAGATAGAGAAGTGAATACTGCATTGATTCATATGGTGTACGCTTTAGTTCAGGGTGGCAGAGGTGGTCCTACAGGAGGGGCTTTTGAAGCGATCCGACGTCAGACCGCTGTTGGATCTGTTCGCCAAATGTAAACGCATGAACTGATTGTTGTTTTCATGCAGTATAGTTCCGAGATGTGTTGATCAATGCCCAGTGGTTGGAAGGACAGTGATGGAAGGGATATTATCGACGCTAAAGGAAGACTTCTACTGCCCACAGTACTCCACGCACGCAGTGGTTAGTGGACGCTGACTCCTCCATAGATCGTCGAGTGTTGGACCGGCGTTAGACCTCTGTGGACTTGAGCAATGTTGTTGAGGATAGGTTTGATCGGTAGGGGTGAGTTTGCTATTTCAGGTTCACCCCATATGCTCCTAAACTAGCGTTTTCCGTACTCGTGGAATTCACATCCACATCGTCATCCTACGTGAAGTCATCAGTATTCCAGGAATATATGTTTGCCCTCGGAAATGGGAGGTGGTCGAGATGGTCCCCTTGATTTTATGGTAGAATCTCGGGGGGTCCTAGGAGGACTCGGAAGAGATGAAGCTGTCTTCCTTGTACTTGCTGCGACCAATGAGCAAACAAGAGTTCTATGTGATCAGAATTAGGCTTAGAAGAGTAAGGTGAGCACTGCTCATTTGAGGCTGCTCACTGAGCAGCCCTGAGATGGTATATGGGCGTGCGGGTGTCGACTATAACCTGGGGACCCCCTGCTATGCCCAACCGCAGTCTTTTTTCGTGAAACGGCATTTTCGGGATACGATACGGCTTCAGAGGGAGGGCCAATGATGATAAGGGACTCTGGCTCAGAGTCACGTAGATGGTATTGGTCGGATAGGAGGCGTGTTCGGGCACAGTGTTGCTTTCAGAGTGAGGTGGGCCTATTGACCGATGTGATAGACTCCTCAAAGTTGACCCTATTGCTTCCAGTGGGTACAGCACGCATGCACTCAGTGTGGTGATAGCGTGTATCGATATGAACGTCTGCCTGAGATCCGAGTTAGTATAAACTACTCTGAACCCCTGAGGTTGCAAGATTCTCTCAACGGGGACTTTCTAGGAGAGAATTCCTCCGATATGATATTGTGTTAACTGGAACAGGTCGGTCCATTAGGAGAGAGAGTGTACTGAGTTGCCATGGGAAGGTCTAGGTCTGATCCCAGCCGTGAGTCTCATGCTGGGAAGGCCGATGAGTGAGACTTCCACAGGGATTTCCTCGACACCACTCCACGAGCTGATAATAATGGTTTCATGTGTTATCTGATGCCGTCAGACTGATGATAGTGTGTGTTCGTGCTTTTCCCGTCAACCCAGTTGGGTTTTCCCAGTTGGTAGTGTGGGTAGTGATACTAGTATTGCTTGGGATGATATCGGGGAGAGCAGACCTTGTTCTAACAGTGGGATGGGCCTCACTGTGATTCTCAGTTAGAGTTTTCATTGTACCATTACGGAAGTGGAGATCGACCAATCTCAGTTAGATGAGCTCCACCACGAGATGGCGAAGGTCAAAGTAGGTCCTTCTATCTGTCCTAGGTGGACTTATTGTCCAGGCAGCTCTCGAGACCGCTTCCAAGACTGGCTCGGGGACCATATCGTACCGTGGTTTGGAGGGCCCCGCTTTGGGCCGGTACCTGTTAGAGTTGCAGCGGAAGGAGGTCAGTCTGTTGAGGGCCCAACAGCGGAAATTGGAGAGCGAGGAGGACCAGCCGGAAGATGCCCATCCAGCCCGACCACTCACCGCAGCTGAGCTCCACGAGGCCTCAGTGGAGGAGGTAGTGGCGTATTTGGGGCGAATGCAGGGGACTGAGGACGAGGTAGAGCGAGGGCTCATCGCGTTGAGACAGAAGATTGATAATAGCGGCTATCACTATCGAGATAAGGCCTTGGAAGGTAAATGGAGACGGGTGGACTCTGTAGTGGGAGGTACTTGTTCTAATAGTATTACCCTTTTGGAGGGACCTTGAAGGAAGTGAAATTAGAAGTATGGGAAAATATGCACATGGTCAACTACATATGTTTGGGGACAATGAATGTGAGAAGAATTCTCTTTGTTTTTATACACTCCCACCTGAACTTGCATGTGAACTTCTACAATTAATGAGAACAATTTCAAGATTCAGCAGTGAAAATACATTCCAACATTGGACATTGTCGGGAGCTGATACTAAGTTCACTCAGATGAGCTTTTTCAGACACTCTAGCGGCGATTCTGGAGGCTTCTGGGGCGGCTGATAAGGTCCGGTTGAAAGCAGTGGCCCTCCTAAATGCGATGGAGGAGCAAAGAGAGGACCCTAGGCGGTAGTACACTAGAGGCCCTCGCTGGTTCGGAATGCCTTGGCCCAGGCCCTCCCTTCTGAGCCGACGCTTTGCGCCTATACTGGCGGACCACTGCATGAGGGGACCAGCGAAGGGAGGGGACGAGACGTTGATGAGGGACACTGCTGAACTGATGACTGATTGGATCAGCAAGCAAGGGGACGATGGTGTTGATGATGTAGGGCTTGTGGAATTTCGTGGCGCGCGGTCATTTTAGCTCCTATTTGAAACTCGTGGGCATCCATCGCCTTGTTCTATCTTCAGCCCCTCCGAGACTGTACCATAAGTTGCCTGCTGAGCTCCTTCCTCTACCATGGTCCGGACCACCTGCCCTGTCTGGAGCTGCTAGAGGCCCTGTTCTCGGTAGAGACCGTCACTGATAATGTGGACCTGTGGACCGCCATGGCCAGAGACCTACGGGTCCTGCTCGACACCAAGGTCAATACAGAGATCCGACTGGGCCGATTCGCCTATGGTACGCCTGTGCCCCTCGGGTCATGGTCATCCTTCTTCCCTTAGTGGTCACTGAACTGACCGCGACATGGAGTGGTGGGGGCGACTTGATCCTCCGACTGGTCGAGCTAGGAGTCCATTCAACATTGCGTCAAATGCCACTACTGGAGGCTGAGACCAAGGAAGAGGCCAAATGGGCCCGGGACCAGGTCCAATATCGCCAATGTGGTCGCCATTACTTTTTCTGGGCTCTCAGGTCGAGATAGCGTTAGCCGCCCTTGAAGGTAGCTACCAAACCGCTGGACGGGAAGGGCAGCTCTTATGACCATCGTGTCACCATTACTACCATTTCCATAGTACTTTGGTGGCTCGAGTTGCTGCCTTCAATTGAGCTTAGGGCGTATTATTGTGGTTTAATGATACACGCCGTCCTGGTCTTCAATAATAGCGGTAAGACGAGGCTGGCAAGGTTCTACACTGCCATGCCTCTCCCGAGACGCCAAGGCCTCATTGACAGGGTTTATGGTGTACTCAGAGGGAGGTAATGGTGACACTCTATTAGTAGCATGGTGACACTGATATAATATTCCTTTGCGTAAGTTACCCAGAGTAGAATTGCCAGAATTGTGACTCTGTACTTCATATTCTTACCGGTACCACGACTTTCCTAGATTTTTCCCCGAGGGTGCCGAAAATATTTACTCGTTCATGTTGTGGCACGGAATACTAATCTTTTATCACAAAAGATTAGTATTCCATGCTACAAAAGTTTTGTGAGAGGCGGCTAGTAGAGACAGGGTCCATAGGCGTTCTGAGCTTGACTCCTGGGGGTTCCTAGTGGGTGATGGGAGGGCCACACCTCGCGAGGTTTTCCATAACTGGTTTCGCTACCGCTACTGTTAATCTCAGAGCAGATGACCACTGCTGTTGTGTGGTCCCGGAGGATCTACATGAACTGTGTGATGGGAGGAAGTCAGCGCCCAACAATCTCAGGATCGTCTATAGGTCCTCCTGGTCGGGCATGGTAGGGAGGCTCGAAACTCTTGCATCCTCAGGCACTTCGCAACCCTCTACTTTGCCTTCATCGTTGACCACACCGAAAGCGATCTGGCCACCCTTGATCTTATACAAGTCTTCGTCCAGGTGACACTCATTGCGATTTGCGCCCATTGGCTTCCTCATGAAACTGTCTCTAGCACAGTACGAATAGTGGAGGAGGAGCGGACATTTTGGGGGGTTAGTGCATTCGTGTTATACGGAAGATCATCACTGTAGTTATTCTGATAGGAGGGGAACTTGTTGGAATCTGTGCCTGTTGTCACCCATATGGGGCTGTATCTCTAGCACAGTAGGAATAACGGTGGAGGGGGGGACACCCTCGGCTGAAGCCCCAGGAGGTTCATCACTGTTGTTATTCCAATAGAAACGGCATTGGCCTCTGATTCAACTTATTTCTAGCACTTTTGATTATATTGGGCCCCTTTCTCAGCAATAATTATTGTAGGCCTTGGACAACGCCTTCGACAGTGTTTGTGAGCTCGACTTGGTCTATCACTTCGATAAGGTAGTACTGCATTAATGACGGTCATCTCCAGCAGCAGCAGCAGCCAGGCCAACTACGTCCTGGATGAGGTGGTCATGGGTGGTCTGGTCCTCGAGTCCAACATCGATACCATAAAGATGGCCCTTCGTGAGGCAGCCTAGCATGATATCTGTCATGGTTTCCCACCAGAGTTGTGGTGTTCACGAGCGTCGTCAAATCGGTACGAAAAAGTGAGACGTGCTCGTTAGTGGCATTGGATATGGCGATTCAAAATCTCCGACTGCATCAACATGTGGAAATATCCCTCCCAGAGTTGGTTTAGTTTCCCTACCTCCCTCCCTTTACCGATGGCCTCGTGGCGGCTCGCTTACAAGAACATGCCCGTTGACCTAATCCTTGTTCGTCACGGAGAAAGTGAAGGGAATCTAGCCCAGAAGATGGTATGGAGATGGAGCGTAGGTATATCAGTGTCCCCAGTAGGCTCAACAAGGCGGTGTTCCCAACCCGTGGACCAGCGGCTTCCGGGCCCGTCATAACTCTAAGTACCGTCTAACTGACAGGGGTAGGGCCCAGGCCGAGGCCGCGGGGGAGTGGATCAAGGACCACATTGGTAGGGACTTTTTGCGAGTAGTGGACCAGAGTACCACGTCCAGGAGAGGCCTTTGACATTTGTCTCACCAGCGAGTACATCAGAGCGATGGAGACCGCCGCATATCTCCACATTCAGGAGGCCGAGTGGAGGACCGAATTCTTCCTAAGGTTCGAATCCACACGAGGCCTCTCCATTCAGTGGCGGTCAATCTAGCAGGGGGGAGGCAAGTCTATTGTTATTCAGAGAACGTGATCGTGGGGTGTTGGCCAACAAGTCCAAGCAGGAACGACGAAGAGAGCATGCAGATGAGATAGAACGACAGGACCGGGACAGTTTCTACTTCCAGCCCAGTGGAGGGGAAAGTAGCTTTAGGACTGTATCGGAATCTCGATGATAGTCGTCCGGAAAGGTATCGCTAATCTGTGTCTGAGGGTCGAGAGTGTGATCAAACACCTTCAAAAAGGGAGTGCTGGACTGAGGGTCATCATAGTGTGCCACGGTGGAGTCATCAAGGCCTTCAGGGCCCTGGTGGAGAGGAAACGGCAAAGTAGGAGGGCTGGGCTTTGACTAGTGGTTACGTTATATTTCAGCTGACTTCAGTGAGGGCTTCGAGGTCCATAGGAGCCGGTCTCGCCGGAGGAGAGTCCATCCTCATGAACCAACTTTTAAGGTACTCCAATCATACCACACCATCGTCACATCGTTGTACACTAATAACCGTTGGTGCCCCCATTCTTCCACCACCGGGCATCTCCTCTTTTAAAGTGCTTTAGTCCAGTCTCTGCTTGGCGATCCTCGATAACCGTTGAATTTCGGCACCTTCGCACTAATGATACAAAAGTGGACACCTGTAGTGGATTTTTGGATATAGATTACCATATAAGGGTATATAGTGGAGTTTCACAATGATGTGTGAAACACTAGTGAAAAATGTCATATTTCACGACTACCACTGTGGAAAACCATTGTGTTGTCGGTCGCGAGGACAAACACGTGTTGAATTTACATGAAGTGTTATGCCACTGCATGTTGAACTCCAATATATTCGATCAATAATATATTCATATAGACTATCTAGGTACTCGTATAAGTAGTGTAATAAGGTTATATACGTTATATGAATATCTATATTCCGTGTATAATAACAATATGGTTTACTATGTTAACATATTATTAATTAAAGATATATCCTTATTGTATATAAGCCTTGTTAGTTGGGGGTATAATATCAACTATATCGATCCGGAAATCATCCAGGAACCTATAATGTTCCCGCGGGGGGGGGGAACTCGTAATGGCCGGGAACACCTTCCCATGTAAATGTCATCACATTGGGAACGATTCACCCATTGTTATCAAACCCTCGGGAAGGTTACTTCTTAAAACTGGGTGGGTCTCTGACATCGATATGTATCATTATGTAGATCCTTTAGTCCACTTGCATTGCCCCTGTGATAGGAGTAGTATCATCGTGGGTGTTGATGCTTCGTCTATGTCCCTTCAGATCTACAACGGCATGGTGATCCACTACTCGAGACGGAACCCGACTACCGGGCTCATTTCTGACAACTACCATTGGGTAGAGAGAAATTGACCGATGGTGGGATCGAACCTTGGTCGTTTGCATTAGGTCCGGTGTGCCTGCCCATGGAGGCCTTCCTTGGTCAACGAGAATTGGATTCATTTTTCCCCTCACGTCCTTAGCAACGATACGCTGTTGGCTGAAGTCCAGAAAGTCCCGCAGCTTGTGAACGAAAGTCGGTCCAGATTGGCAGTTTTGATACAATGGGGATGCGTTGGCTCACCAGAAAGATTCAGTTTGGTCATTGCCACTTCCTGTTATCAGGGTTCGACCAAGCCTTGGGCCGGTACCCTCACGAGGAGCCCTCCTCCCCCACTAGCGACTACGCTGAGACTGTCACGGAGAGGCCCTCCAGATGTAAGCATTTCGATGTCGTAGTGGACCTGTTCGTTGGGGTGGTCACCGGTCTTGAGGCCATCGACTTAGTAGAATAGGGATCTCCGGAGTGCCTTTCCTCAGCGTCCATACGGGTGCCGAGCTACCAGCCACAGGCCAGTGAGGGGGACGAGGAAAATCTAACAATTGATATCGGTCCGAAATTCAATGCGTATCTTGGGACCATGCCCATTCAGGTAGCGACGGAGACACTGATGACTTTAGGGCGAGGTCTTTGGACATGAGCCCGACCGATCGAGCCATGCCCGAGTCGCCTTTCTACCATGAACAGTACGACTCCTGGCCTTGCACCATTGAGATGTCCTTTGCCTTCTGCAGACGGTATCCGTCCCTTTTTGCCTTGGGCTCACAGTCTTCCTCTGTGATGGGACCCCACCTTAGGAGCTCTCTGTCCTCCTCTTTGGGCCATAGGACCCTAGGGGACAGTCTGGGTAGCGTGGCCGAGGGTAGGCCGGCCCCCGTGGCTGAATTGCTCAGAGGTGGGCGCTGCCGGTCCTCTGTGTGATACATCTCCCCGCCCTGGTCAGCAGGTCACGGCGGAGGTTCGGGCCACCATCTCCGGAACGCCCGACTTGATCTAGGTCGGCTGAATAGAGTCGGCGAGTCTGAGTCCGAGGACGATGGGTCCATGACCGGTCCTCCTGCTGCAGCTGCTAGCGGCTCGGATGGCCTCCGTCGGCATCAAGCATGATAACAATGTTACACAATTTTTGAATATTTCATCCTCTTGCCACTGCTCAATAGGGTTTCTCAATATCGCTCTGGTACCTGGTTTCGCTTAGCCCCATCGTGAGTGCTGAAAATATTCATACACATGTAAGTTTTTGTTTATATTTTTCTGAAGCCCTACAGTGTGGGTGTTGGTCACTGATGCCCCCTCGCAAGAAGCCGGCCCCCACTACCACCAGGCGGAAGGCTCGAGGGCTGCCGAGGTGTCTCGACGAGTTGGACATGGACCAGGACGATATCACCAAGTACTTCAAGCTCAAGGCTGGTGCCCCCTGGACTTCCGCGGAGGTCGAGCTCTTGAGACGGAGGATAGTCACGGCCGATAGGAAGATTGCAACGTGGGCCGGTCATTTCGTGGCGCGCGGTCATGGACGCTGCTGCTCTGTCAGGCTCCAGTTGGAGAAGGAAAGGTTGCTCAATATCCTCCACGAGGTCCCCGAGGAGCTCCTCGACCCAGACGGGGGAAAGCGGGCCTCGCCCTCCAGACCCGAAAGCGACGGGGTCATAGATCTCTCACAAGACATGCCCTCAAGTGGTGTGGTCAAGTCGGAGGGCCAGTGGCCAGAGAAATGCCCCTGGGAGGACCGGGAGGCGGCCACGGTCCGAATGATGGGCCGGATCAGCATGTTCTGCATCGACGACCTCTTGGAACCGTCGGAGCGGGTCCACATCGATGAGGTGGGGCCATCAAAGCAGTGTGGGAGATATGCACATGATCAGCTACATGTGTTGGTGACGATATGAAAATTGTGAGGAAATTTCGGGAAATCCTCTCTGGTTCCTGTACACTTCGTTTATAAATTTCTGTCATCGGTGAGGAACCTCTCGAGCTTAGCTGAGGAAACCAAATATGTCCTTCAGGTGGCTGGAGGAGGGTCAGAGCCATCTGGACAGGGCGGCCCCAACATAGAGATACCTCCACGGCCGGTAAGGTCCCTTCTGGACCAGACCGTATGCCTCCCTTTGATCAGGATGGGTTGCCGAGCCCATTCCCTCGAGTCTTGGACAAACACGGCCCGTTTTTGGGGAAATACCCATCGGTGCCGGGTTTCTTCGATGACTTTGATGGCCTCTTCGTACTGTCCCCGACAGAGCTGGTCGCGACCATAGACGAGCTCGAGAACTTACTCGCTACCTACCTTAATCCGCTCGTTTGTGAGTGCTTCTGTTGGACCTCTTTGTTGACCGACAACGCTGAGATGATCAGATACCAGGAAGGACCTCAGCCGGTGGACTGACTACTCGGTGGAGTTCCTCATTCGCCTTCATGAGGGGGTGAGGAGGAACAAGGCAAGGGGGGTCTCTATCGAGGCTGTGCAGCGGTACCTCAACGAGTTGTTCTCCAACTACCCTCGTCCTAAGCCGGACCAGTCCGAGGAGGAGCGCTCATCATCTAGACGACCACTACTGGAGACCAGTGGACCGCCTCTGGCCCGGAACATGGCTGAAACGATGGACTTCGCTGAGCAGGTGGAGCCCTTAGCCCCCGAGGGCCAATTTGATGAAGTCCAGGACATAGACCAGACCGAGGTGATGCATGAAGACGATGTCCCTCCTTCCACTGCTATCGTCGAGGCGATACCTTTGACTCCCAACGAGATGGTCACGGATGATGAGGGACCGGTACATCTGCGGTACAGTGAGGCCACCACGGCGACTTTGGCACAGGAGAGCTGTAGTCAGGACGACCTCATGCAGTTTTATCCTATCATAGAGGTCAGTGGTGACGACATGTCCGAGCGGGGGGACGGGTGGTCAGGACCGCTACCTTCATTGCCAAGTGATGATGATGATATTCAGTGTCTGTCTGGGGGCAGTCCTCCGACCTCCACGCCGGAGAAAGAGGTGGACCAGAGTGGGCCGGATGCCGCGAATCGACATGAGTGGCTATCCTCTCTTCCACTTGTAGAACGTGTGAAAGCTCTGGGGGCCATGAGGAGAGGCTCAGATGTGAGCCGCTGGGCCAATGGGACCTGGAAGGTGCCCCGAGTATCGCTGGCCAGCCTGGGTGTTCCGGAATCCTCGGCTGACCAGACGACCCTTCCGTACGAGGATGATGTGCCAGTAGTGGAAGCGGTTAACGATGATGACTTGCTGTTGGAGGACAGCATGGCCGATGCGGTCCTGGTTGGTGGCGCCTCGCAGGGCGCGTTGGGTGAGACGGCCGCCAGCGAAAGCCCTACAGTGTCACCGGACCAGATTGCCACAGGTGGTAAGGCGGATACGCAGGCCGGACGATCTGTGTTGGGCTTAATGGACTGGGAGAAACTTGGAGACGACGAACTGAAGCGGTGGATGTCCTTCTTTGGTCTCAAGGTGGTCTCTGGCACCTCTAGTCGAGGGAACATGGTCAGGACCCTCACGGACATCGCTAGGTAGGGACCTTGGCCGTGGCGCTCTTCCTAGTCCAGTGGTCCACAGATACGTCGAGAAAGGCGCGGCCATGAGGGTGGACGAGGAACAGACTTCTATCGAGGCCCCGAGGAGGAAGCGACAGAGGAGGTCCCCCGCTAAGAAATCCAAGGAAGGCATGTGTGGGTTTCAACTGGCTTTTGCCCCTGACGTTGTTGTTGGTCTTAGAGAAAAAACGAGAAGCTGAGGAAAAGCGGAGGGCCAATAAATTGGCTCTCGTCCACGCCATACGGAAGGACACTGAAATGTGGCAACGGATGCTCCTTTTTGAGACCATCGACCTCACTGACCTCTCGACACGTCTCAAGAACCAGGTCGGTCCTGTATGGTATCGCGGAGGAGCCCTCATGTGTCAGGACGACTCTATTGTGTGTGATACAGTTCTCCTACGGGAGATGCTGGAAGAACAAGGTGTCCAATTCTGCAATACCCTCCAGTCAATGACCCAAAGGGCTACTCGAAAACCGAGGAAGGCGACGGCATCTGTCCGACGACAAGCTCGATCGTAGTCTCTCGATACACCACCCCTGAACCGGGGGATGTGCCAGCCTGAGAGGAGAATTCTGTGGCGCGTGACGGTTGATGATGTGAAGACCAAGCAAGAGTTAATGAAGCCAAGAACTGCTCCGTATGCTGTATAAATCCGTATATTATATAATTCCATCTCTTACGAACGTCGTTGTGATGACAGTAGGGGCGGTAAGCGAATCACGAGATATAGGTATACCCAAGTCAGCCCGTGCATGAGCCTTCCTCCATCGTCGGTATCATTAGGGACCACTTCCTGATGGTAGATGCTCTCACGGATCATTGCGAATAGATCTCCAGACCCAACCAAAATTGAAAACAGGAGGTATATAACGAGTTGAATACCGTTCAAGAAACCTCTCATGGACCCAACGGGCCGATCTCAACGGCAGACTGCTCCGGTACTTGTATCTCGACTACGGTGGTAGGTTCGGCTGGGACGAGTACGAGACTAGCATTTATCCACCACTTGACGTAGAGAGAAGTTCTCCTCCTGATACGTTGTCGCCCGCCCTTCGATCAGTGATCGACGATTTCGCTCGAAACACAATTCCCCCGGGCTTGTCTCCAGTCTCACTGCAGTTGTTATTATTCACTAATCACTACAGAGGCATTGTTTCATTCGCATAGTGGAGTCGATTATCATGTTACTCCCGAGTCGAAAGTCTCAACCTGGCTTGGGGACATTGGAGCAGTTTTTGGCTGTATATCTCCATAGCTTATCACTCATCTAGGAACAACTCCCCTGCGATGTTAACTGTCGTAACGAACTACATTCTGATCTCGGCTCTCCTGGAACGTGGATTAGCCCGTTCTGTCTCCTCCTCAACAGGTCGCAACAGTCTGCCCACCATCCCTGAGGTAGTCACCCCAACGCTCTTGTCGCAATAACCTTGATTATCAGTCAACTGAGGAGGAGTTAGATAGTCCACCTCCCACACCTCCAGAGCTAGATGATCTACCTCCCCCACCGCCAGAGCTAATGAACTCAGTGACGCTCTCTGATGATGCATTCAATGCCATGCAAGTAACATAGTGTGCAGCGCCACTGTTGTTGTTCGTTATACCACTGGCGCATCAGGCCGATATCTCATTCTTGAAACGACGCGTGAATATACTCGAGCAACAGTCTCGTGTAAGTTCTCCTTCCCAGCAATATAGTTGTTGCCACATGGTCTATCAGGCCCACAGTGAAGTCACTGCTGTCGATACCAACAAGTGCGTTCGACGGAACAAAATGTGGCAGTTTGCCATAACGTTGAAAGTTTCTCAAAATGATGGCAAATCGCCAATGAGGGAGACCGAGAGATCAATATGTTTTGAATTGCTCGATCCAGAACTGACCATATCGTATTTGTAAGTTGCATGTTGGGATTTGTTTGAAACCACGACGTGTTGTAGATTGAAATGTGGCGAGCTGTTCAAGCTTGACATCGAAGGTTCGTCATTCAAAGAAAAGAAGAGAATAGAGGAGGCCCGTGAGCATTTTTCGGGTATTGATCCCCTCAACCATCTGACCGAGAGAGATTTGAAAGAGGTCCAAAGTCTCTTTCCGATCGCTAAAGATGATCACCGAAGATGTGAGGCTCTATTCGACTTTATGGCCATTCATCCACCTCCGACGAAGGAAGAGGGCTATGATTGGATAAGTGATTACTTCTTCGAGGCAGCTCAGTACGGGGATGCTAAGATCAACGAGTGGCATACACAACATGGCACACGACTTAGATCAGAGAAACGACTTTCAACCCTCAGTAGTAGAAGGTCTTCTTCCGGCTCCACAGCATCTTTCAAGCTACGTCATTAATAATGGTAGAGAAATAAAGACAAAGATGTCCTGTTGTATGGTGTTAACTTTGCGTTACCAGTCATCATTGAGGGTGTCTTGAGGAGGCCAGCTAATCATAGGAAGGAAATCACAGCTCTTCGTTCACAGCCAAAATTCTCTTTGCTACAGTGGTTGATTTCCCTCTGACAGGCATTGTCACTAAATTTTCAGTGAATCTCATCTCATCAACTGAATCGAGGATCTAACAACTACCTCCGAAAGATCGCAATAACGAAGTGCCATGCCCATATGAATCGATGAACTGTCCACTTCCAACGCAATATCACTCCAGTGTGCGGCAACAGAAAGCCGAAGAGCGTGATAGATTTCCCAACGTTCGAGACGACAATCCCAGACTCTGATGCGAGTCGTGGATAAAAAACAAGATACCAACCGCGTTAAAAACTCTCACCAAGATAATCTTTTTAAGATCATAGGATGATGGTTATCGAAGTAATCAATTAACCTATGGGCCATATGGGCCTCGAGACCAATAAAAACGGACAGGAAATTCCAATAGAAATTATACAGATTCCCAGCACAAGAGATATCCAATCATCAGAGCAACTACACAGTGGGCAAGACATTCAGTCCTCCACTGGTAATGATATCACACATGACGGAAACTCCCTGTGGCAGCATCGCCACAACATAAGGTTTCACTCACCGGAGAGAACCACAACGGTGGGAGTCCGTCTGTTATCACTATTTCTGACACTATACTTGTGATGAAAGTAAGTCTGGATTTCCTCAAATGTTTTACCTTTCGTTTCGGGAACTATAAACAATACGAATACAACCATGATGAGACATATTCCAGCAAAAAGCCAGAAGACTCCGTAAAAAGTGATAGCTTCCCGGAGTTGATCCAGGAAATGAGTGACGATGAAGGAGCACAACCAGTTGACCATAGTAACTAAAGAAGCAGCCAGACCTCGCACTTCGTCGGGGAAAAGTTCGGCCATGATCAACCATGGTATTGCGCCAACACCCAGAGAAAAAGACGCGATGTAACAGTAGGCAGAAGTGATGGCCAACCATCCAATATTGTTGATACCGGACACCTCGTTAAGATAGAAAAAGACGCCTTCACATACTGCAGAGATGCACATTCCAGAGGAAGCAGAGACGAGGAGAATCCTCCTACCCAGTTTGTCAACAATCCCAACCGCGATGGCGGTCACGCCAACTGACACAGCCATGACCGTCAATGCTACCTCATCCTTATTGTCGATGCCCGCGGCTTGAAAGATAGAAGTTTGGTAAAAAATGATAGCGTTGATGCCAGAGAACTGCTGCAGTACTTGCGACATGATACCAATGAAAACTTGCATCCGACATCTATTCAATGCTTTTAGAGATGTCATGACGGATCCCTTCTCTTCGCTGTCTCTTTTGGACTTGATAGCCTCCAAGGCCATGAGCTCAGCTTTTACCACAGGATCTTCCGCATCACCTCCACGCAGTTTAATAACGATCCCCTTGGCTTCCTCGATACGTGACTTTTCAGCTAACCAACGGGGAGATTCGGGTGCGAAGAACATGCATATTCCCAGCAGAGCCGCCGGGATGATGTATACGAAGCTGAGTGTTCGCCAGTTACAGAATGTTCTTGATGTGGCTTCTGGATCGATCGACCCAGCTTGGGTGCGGAAAGCCAACCCAAAGAGATAAGCCAGGAGGATGCCGATAGTAATCCCAAGCTGATTGCAAGCACCGAAAATACCGCGGTATTTGGTGGGAGCAACTTCACCGATGTAAGTGGGCACGCTGAAGGAGCTCATGCCAAGGGCAATGCCGACGATGACACGAGCCACGATAAGCTGCCACGCGGTGCGCGCTAGACCGATCCATAAAAAGGCCAATAGAAATAAAGGGGATGCACCAATGAGGCTCCATTTACGGCCAATCTTCTCGTTGACGGGGCCACCGCCAAGCGCCCCGATGATAGCACCAATATTGACCATAGAACCGAATAAGGAAGCATCATTACTACAGCATTTCCCGGTCATGTTTCCGACTTGCGCACTGTTATTTCCGACTAACTGCATGCGAACATCCGATGCATCATAACAATTTCCGACCCGCACTCATTTATCCGACTCGGTCAAAAGCAATATCCGATATACCGCATGAAAATTTCCGACTAGGGTCATCCTAATATCCGCCCGATTCGTGCATCCCAAATATCCGACTGTCATTCAAATATCCGATAGCCTACATTCAAATATCCGCGGGCGCGCGCTTATTCAAAAGAATCTTCTGCGCAGAAATCAAATATCCGACAAAAGCATGAATTATCCGACCAACTCAAAACGACTAAATCAAGTAAACTCATGTAAGACCACATGACTCCGTGACTCGATACGAGCCACAGCTGACACATTATAATGACTAGGATATAGGAAAAAGAGTTCGAACAGAGCCAAGTTGGCTCAGCCAACCACATCGTTCGTGATTCACATGTCCTCGCCATTGAGAGCTCTAGGAACCTCGGAAGTCAATACGTGAACGAGGCTATTCGAAACAGTTGCCACGGTGACCGCATCCACAGCCTGGGGACAAAACGATAGAAGAACACGGGATCTGGCCTCTTGCAGAGACTCTCCGTCGTGTGGCTGAACTTGTCCGTGCTCAGATATCATTCTCTTCAAGGCCGATTTCAAGGGCGAGAAGCAATTTTCTATTGGATTTAAAGCACATGAATAAGGGCTCACTCTCTTATAGGCCACATTCAGGGCGTCGCATGTGTTGTCAGCAGTAGCATGACAAGGAGCATTGTCATAGAGTAGGCAAAAAGGCCGACCATCCGGTTGGTTGGCCAGTTTGTCAAGCACATCACGTAGAAAAGCCTCGAAATCTTCCTTTTTACATCCCCCTAGCATTGACTGCCAAGCGAGGATCCCACCCTCGTTGCATACAGCACAGATAAGGGTAACGTGTTTCCCACGCTGATTAGCGCAGGTCTTCCTAGCTCGTTGCCCTTTCGCCGAACGACCCTTAGATCTACAGGTATACAAGTTATACCCTGTCTCGTCAATCCAGACAAGACGATATCGGCCAGCGTTCACCTGAAGCCACTGAGCGAAATCACGCCTCTTCACCTTATTCACTTCACTGTTTCTTGCTTCGGGTATCAGCTGAAGTTGCTTCATGCTGATAAGCCTACCTTCCAAAGCTCGAGCAACAGTGCTTGTACTCAGCTCGACGTTCCACTCACGAGATACTTCGTCAGCGATTTGCTTCAAAGTCAAGTCAGCATCCCTCCCAACCAGGTATGCCATGAATTCTATCATAGGCTCGGTACACTTCTTATTTCTTGGGCCCCCACGTGGCCGCGTTTCTTCCCTTTGAGACTTTACAATGCGGTAGGCGGTGTCAGGTTTCACACCAAGGTTTTTTGCTGTAACCTGGTAGTGACTACCAGGTAGTCGTCTCCGTCTCGAGCTGCTTTGATGATGGCCTTACGCGCCAAAGAGGGGATGCTCTTACCTCCTCGAACGCCCATTAACGGAGTAAGAAAGAAAAAAGACTAACTGTTCACATGCACTCCACTCGACGTCTTTGGATAATTCATGCTTTTGTCGGATATTTGATTTCTGCGCAGAAGATTCTTTTGAATAAGCGCGCGCCCGCGGATATTTGAATGTAGGCTATCGGATATTTGAATGACAGTCGGATATTTGGGATGCACGAATCGGGCGGATATTAGGATGACCCTAGTCGGAAATTTTCATGCGGTATATCGGATATTGCTTTTGACCGAGTCGGATAAATGAGTGCGGGTCGGAAATTGTTATGATGCATCGGATGTTCGCATGCAGTTAGTCGGAAATAACAGTGCGCAAGTCGGAAACATGACCGGGAAATGCTGTAGTTTTGAGGACGAAGAAGGATGATCCCTCACCGATCGGGATATGCCTCCCATCGGTGGTTGTGACGTTGTCTCTCATAGTGTCAATGGCCGGTCCAGAAAACCCCAGAGACAGACCGAAGAGTAACGCACCGAAGAGGGATGCTGAGACGGACAGAATAGCACAGGTATGTTTCATAGTGGAAGAACTCAACTGAGTCCAAACTTGAGGGGGGAGAAATCCACAACAACGGGTTTGGGGCCGATATGCCACTCTGCGATCTGAGGTAATCATTCTGAATAAGAGAGCTGCAGGGATGGGAAAGGATACCGGCTTTGGAATGGCATAGCGGCCCCAAGCGGAATGAGATTTCTCAACAGCAAAATTGGTGTTCTCTATTTCGTGCCGTTGCGAGATCGATTGTGTAGAGGCAAATCTTGGGTGTACTTATGCGATCCTTGCCCATCATACCCCTGGCATAGGCGCCCCACCTGGACATCCTCCTGATTGAGCGGCCCCTCATCTGAAAGTTGCGTTCGCGTGCGGCATTTTTCGCTACGCCCAATTTAGTGTGATTAAGATTGTTACCACAACCAACGCTTGAATATCGAGTCAAAAGTCGTAACGTTTAGAACGCCATCACGTTTACATTACAATTGGCAACTACAACGCGTCAATCACCGGAGATCACTTCCGATCTCGCTATTGGCGAGCCAAAGGTTCAAGGGGACGTCACGTCTCTGACGTGAGGAATGTCAAGTGATTCAAGTGAACTCAAGGTCAACTCCTGTAGAATATATGATGGATAAACTCGTGTATTCGTTTACAAATGAAGGCTTCTCTATTGTTACGGCATAGTCGCAAGCGAGATGAACCTGAAGTGTCGATCAGGCCTCCAGTGGCGGACGTGAACATCGAAAACATCGGGTGAGTGTGATCAAATTACGATGTATCGTCTGTCGTTGTAGACTAGTTACGTCGTTATTCAGCTATAAACCGATCTACTTTCGCCATTTTGTCAGGGAGCGTCTTCATCGAGGTGACGTGTTGGACGACTTGGAATATCTTTTGTTCAGCAATCGAGTTACCACCTCGGACACGGAATCATTCTTGCATATTCGAAAGCCAGCTTCCGTGGATATGAGAAATCGCCTTTTAAGCGCTATGGACTGGACTGACCACGAGAGAGACAAAGTGAGTTAGTCGAGTGTCTCTCGAATCTTCGTTCCTCCAACCCCCCAGGTACTCTCTATGCTTAGTAAAGAGCAGTACACAGTTAAGGTGAATAAAGACATGGAGGTGCAAGTCAGAGTTCGGTCACTGTGTTTGTCCTCCTATATATGCCCTGATAAAAGCTTCCGTCATTGTATCGTTGGCAGTAACATTCCAGAGAGCCAGAAGTTGTTTAGATTTGCAAACCGCCCATGTGTCTTGGTCCTGCACGACCTTGGTGATGAGAAGTCTTCTTGGTTGCAATGGATGCGATTGGCCGTAGATATCTTCAAAGGAGATATCTTTGATATTGTCATGCTTGAAGTCGACCAGTGGCGTAAAGACCCTTCATCATGGTTCTCATATATGCCTTATATCTTACCACACCTTCTCGAACACTTGGGTATCAGTAAGGTGCACGTTCTTGCAGACGGATATGGAAGTGGGTGTTTTCTAAGATGGTTAACACAATGGAAAAATAATGATAATATGCGCGCACTCGGAATGTTCTCGAAAACGACGCATCTTCTCCACAATTGTGATTTTCACCGTGCCATTCATCTCTACGATGATGAATGGGCTAAGGCTCTTCGAGCGGTGATCAAAGCGACCGGAGTGCAACTGTGGTTCACTTGGCAAGACCAAACTCATCCGTTCAAAGTAGCCAGGAATCGTTCTAGTGCCCGCAGCACTATGAAGAGGGTGCATGAGTCTATCACTCAGCTTGCCGCCGATCTCGAGAGCGACAAGTGTCTCTTGGACCCACCGTTTGATCCCATCATCTCGAGTGAATTGCCGTCCTCAGTATTGCGAAGTGAACTCATTGATTTTCCAACTGGACGTGTGGCGATGCCCAACTCAGTCAATTTACCAGCGAGTGAACGATTCACAGAATCGGTGAAGGAATTTTTCCGAGAAGGGGAGAGAGCGAAGATGCGAATGATCAAAGAATGCTTTCTGGATGGCCTTTTCATCGACTCTGACGTTTTGATGACGATAAATAGGCCGATGGTCGAAGTACGGTGACAGGCTTGGGTTGGGATGATGATAATGTTAAGGTTCCGCAGGGAGGGGGCATTTTCTCAGCGTTGCTGTCTGGAGATGAGAGAAAAATGTGGTAATAATGGCTGGATGGTTTAATTACAATACTGAGATGCAGTAGGCGCAAGTTCAAACCCTGCTCAGTTCGTTTTATTCCCGTGATATTTCTCAGTAGAATATGACATGGTGATATCTTTAGCATTACAGGGCGTTGCTACGTCTGATTATATATATATTTATTCGTCCTCAGCTTTACGCCAAACTGCACTACGTCGGTTCGGCGAGAGGAAGGCAAGGATGCGAAAATATGTAATACGCTGAGATCCTTCATATTGTCGACCCGATGGAAGAAACTTTTCCAGCAGTGTAGTAATGCTTGCTCAGTGAATAACAATAGAGAGGTCGAGTCGGAGGTAGATGGCTCGAAAGCAGAGGGAAGTGAACTGAAAGTAGTCCCAACTGGGGGTTCGTTTATCATATGAATGCCGGGATGGAATTCGTCTGAAGTTAGGTTTTAACGCATTCCTTCACAGCGGAAAACCCCACGATATCAAGGGAAGGTGTGAAGAAAACTACTGTTGAGTATGAGAAGTAACTATAACATTCACGGAGTCTCTTATAAGGATAGGAACTCTCTCAGGTTGGATAGAGCAATTTCGAAAAGCTTAGCGGAGCGAAGCATATCATCGATTTTGCATGATGGAAATTCATAGACCTCTTGAAAGACCGGCTTACCATGTTACTTGCATACCCCATCAGAATCGTTGGCCTCAACTTTTTCTGTTGCGTTCAGTGTTTCCATAGGGGGTGGACTCCGTTTTTAAAGTTGATATTATTACTCTGATAGTTTATGACAACTGCGAGTGCAGGGAGGTGGATCTGCTTTAGTATTGAGGACCTTAAAAAATTCAAAGGTCTCCCGCAATGTAACGAGAAACCCAATGATTTTCCGACTCTTATTGACAAAGACAATACCGAGTCACCACTACTAGGAAGTAATACTGAGGGAAGTAGCATCTGTCGGTAACTGGAGTGGCGAAGTTATGGTATCAACTTGCTAATAATCATCACCACTGTTCGTGGAAATTCTCCTCCTCCTATTCTGATCTTGTTCGTTCGCGGTCTACCTGTATTTCTATGTGTGATATCAGCTTACCGTGGAGGAGACCAA